ACTTGGTCAGGGAATGCTGTAGGAGGAATTAAGGCTGTGTGGGCAAAACTGGATTAGTTTCCATTCGAATCGGTCTCTTTTCTATTCAAACATCCCTCTTCTCCCTCCCAAGTCTACAGCATTTCTTCTTCTTCAGAGCCAGAAAGAGTCTGGCTATGGGCTGCGACATCCCACCCAGGGCAGCAGGCAGGCGGGTGGGCGGCTGGGTGCGCGCTCAGCCGGAGCCGCCACGCCGCCCCCACGCTCCGCCACGGGCAGGCACGAGCAAGGCCCGAGAGAGGAGCGGGGAATACGGGCTCTGGCTCGCGCTGCCTGGCGCTGCGCTCCCGCCACTCCGGGTCACCGCGGCAGATGCTGGGAGCATATGCCATGAATTAATTCCACTTTCCCTGAGACACTCAGGCAAGAGGAACGGTGGTGCCTTTCCAACTTATTAACATAGGAGCTCCCCCCCACCTCCCATCACTTTGTCACACTTAATAAAACAGCCAGCCAGAGTCCCTTTAAGAGGCTCTTTAATGAAAAGTTGCTGGCTCTGGCTCTTTCTCAGCTTTTATTTTCTACATTTTTTTTCCAGTGTACGCTGTCTCAGCCTCAATATCCCCCCACCACTGACAAACTGCACTCTAGTAAGGCATCTCCACCGAGAAGGTCTATAAATATTGTATCTATTATTATAAGCAAAACCAGATATTCCTAAAACTGATAGGACCTAGAATTAATTTTTGCTTTGTGCACTTCTTTTACTTCATCTGTGATGAGGCTTGCCATTTGCCCAGGTAGTCTACTGAGTTCTGAGCCTGCAAGAGGCTATCTGCGGGTAGATATTTACACCCATCCAGAATCCCAGCAAGCCCCTGGGCAGACACCCTAGATCAGCTCACTGAGCTAAGCATGCTGTTGACAATACACACTTCAACAGGTTTGCAGCTCTCCCTCAGCAATGTCTGAACAGAGCAGAACAATGAGTAAGCAGGACGCAAGACTCTCTACGTTGAACTGCCATCTTCGAACTGAAGATGGGAAACACTCACCAGGTATATGAAAGCCACGTTTGAATCAGGAACATGAGGTTCCTCGTTTCTAACCTTTATTCTGCCACAGGTTTGTTGTGTGGCCCCAGGCACACCACTGCACCTCGCTTTACCCCTCTGTGATATGGGTCTGTGGAGGCCAACAAGGGATTACTGCTCTGTTCCTTGGCTAGGCACAGCCCAGAGGGCTGATCTGAGTTCCTAGGAACCAGGTGCACTGTTCTGAAAACTGCTCTCACTTCTCACCTCACCTGAGGATCAACCAGAGCTACACCTTTGCAGGCTACAAGAAGAAATTTACACCTACTCTTTCCATGGGACTTTTCAGAAATGCAGGTCCCTGAGGCAACTTTGTCACAGCCAATACTCCCTGGTGCATCACCATGAGCCAAGAGCTGGCCCAGGCATGCAAAAGCACCTCGTCATTTCTTTTTAGCAAGGAGAGTAACAGGAGCGGGTTCTCCTCTGACAGCACTAGGACTTGGGAGAGGAGAAGCAACAGGTCTCAGTCACCTTCCCAGCTCTGCAACCAAAACACGACTGTGAAAGGAAGGTGGGTGGAAACAGTTTGCTGGAGGAAGGCCAGGAGCCAGACACTCACCTTCCCTCCTCCAGCTGAGGAAGGAATTGAAAAGACATGGAAACAAGTCTCAGTCTATTAAGTTTATTGAAGGAAATTAAAGAAACAACTTGATCACAGTGCACATAAATACTGAAGCAAGGAGAAAATATCTGACAGCATGGCTTAACTGGGAAGGTGAAAGCATAAGCAGGCTAGGGAAGAGAAGATGAATCTCAAAAACTGAGTATAGAAATAAAGCAGATTTTGAACGATAAGGGCAATTATCTATTAGAAAAACTAACCAGGGAAGATTTTCAAATATACTATCTGCCTTTCTAAAAGACAGGGAAAGCTCAGCCAGATCTCACTGGACTCTGCCACGGGCTGTATTATAGCACGTCAGACTAAATGATCAAAGCCACCGCTTCCCACCTTAAAATAGATGAGGCTGTGATTTTTTTCAAGCCCTGCTCTCAAACTCTGCCTGGGTATCTGCTGGGCTCCCAGGCTCCCAGAGCGGGCACAGGCCTGGCCTGCACACACTTGCCTCCCACCCCAGAGCATCCCTGCCCAGGGTCCCAAGCCAGAGGGGGGCAGCCCACAGCACCCAGCCCCAAGCACACTCTTCTGGGAGATTTTATGCAGCTTTAGAGCAGCTCCTCCAGCATGACGTGACCACAGCTCATCAGCAAAGGCCTCCTTCAGCTCCCACTATGCTTTTGTGCTCTGGCTCTCCACCAGCACCTGCTCTGGCCTCACTCCCCTCCAAATTTTATGCATATTCTGTTCCCAAATCATTCAACCTCCTTGCTCCTCTTGCCCCTACCCTGCCTCTCCCACAAACCCCACTCTTGCTCCTGGCCCCCTCTTCCCCACACCCTGCCTCAAATGGCCCTCCCCAAGCCCTCGCCCATTCCTACCTCTCACGGTCTCCAGGAGGATCTCCAGGGTCCGATGTCCCTCCTGCTCTTGTTTCAAGGAGGGTGCTTTCATCTTCCTCTTGGCTCCCGAAGGGCCCCTGTAGCCTCTGAGGGGCTGAGTGCCGCTGCACAGCCCAGTTCCACTTCTCATTCCTCCCTGCTGGGAGAGCAGCCAGACAGGAGTGCTCTGCCCACCCAGGATCATCAGAACAGCTCTTGGAGGCAGAAGATGGCTCTGCGAGCCTTCCTGGAGACAGCCCAGGATTGCTGGTGCAGCGGACAGCTGCTCGAGGAGCAATGGGCTTGGCATGACTCCTGCACAGAGCACTCAGTAGCTGCAGTCCTAACTACTGCTTAGTTACCCACTCTTAATGCTCCATGTGGCCAGCAATGCCACCTCCCCAAGCCCTAAAGAAAACGCACACATAATATGCCACATATCACACACCATACCTCAGAGGCTGGGCAACCAGAAACATTGGATTCGTAGTTCACCCACTCTTGTGCCTCAGGCCTGGGCATTTTCAGCTTTTGTAGTCATTGAAAACTGGTTGATTTGCATTGGGTGACTGCATGGTCTTATGAGGTGACCCAAAAGTGCAAGGCCTCCTATGCTTTGCGACACTGACTGAAGGAAGAAAGGTGGGCTCACCTCTCAGCCTCCCTTTCTGTCTCTGCTCATGTTGTTTTCCTGCCCTCCTCCAACAAACCCGAGGCAAGCGCAGCATGGTAGTAGGAAGACAGTTACTTCACTGGTAGGGACTTGGCGCAGAGACCCAAGTTTCAGTGGGGGTACTGGTAGTCTGTTTTGGGCTGCTCCTGCAACTACCAAAGTTTGTCCTCTCATTCTCAGGGCACAGAGTTATGTTTGCTTCGTGCTTCAAAGAGGCTCGAGTCTCACTGGAAGCAGATACCACTGAATAAGGTGATACCAGGCAAGCAGCTTACAGGAGCAGTGGGGATTAGAACCTCAGATCAAGCAGAAGGGAGAGAACCCACACCGGACGGTCCTACAGTTTGCAATTGAGAGGAGAGTGCCTCTGCTTTCTCCATGATCTTTGAGGGATGAACTGAGCAAATCCATGTCCCATCCCCTCCTCCCTCTGCCATTCTCTTCCTCTCAGACTGGCTTGTTGGGTTTGTCTGATTTACTAAACTACTTTAGTTTGCTGAATTTATTTTTTTTTCCTGCAATGTAGGAAGCATGCTAAATCCTCTTTGGCCAAGAACCATAGGTGTCGCAGAAAAATAGATGCTAGCTCAGCTGGGAAGTTTCTGCTCATACCAAAACAAGTTTCTCGGCTCAGAGAAAGACTTCGGGATTATCCTCCATACACTGGCCTCCCAAGCTTCTGTCTCGCCTCGTTTTCTAGTTATAGGGCAGACTTCTTGGTTGTAAAAAACTTACTGTCTCCTTGAGACAGATGAGCCTCCACTTATTTTGGTGGCCCCAGACTGGGACCCAATTGCTTCTCTCTTGTTGGTAGAATTGTTTGGCCTATCAACTCTGATCTGAAATTTTGCAGAGTACTGAATTCACAGTAAGTTATTTGACCTGTCCTGCTGTCAGTACAAGAGTGGGAATGCAGTGCTCTATTAGACCGACCAAACAAGCTAAGAAAAGCAGCACAGCAAGCCTTCCTCCCAGCAGCTGCACTGCCCCCAGAAGTATATAGCAAGATTCTCCAGCAGGACAAGGCTTTGAAGGACATTGGCTTAGAAGTAATGTTACTGTTTCCTGCAAATAATGACCACAGTTCTATGGGGACAGGGCATTAACAGCTAAATGGATTTTTCTTTAGATGACAGTGAGAGTAGGTTACTTGGTTCCAAGGGGACACCCACCAGGGAGCTACCTTGTTTCAGAGCAGCAGACTCCATTCTTTCACATGCATGGAATAAACAGTATTTTCTTTGCAAACTACCTCTTGCCTGAAGCTATCTCCGTTCAGGCTGTGATCTCATCTGATTGCAAAAGCTAAGTGGGGTTAGGCCTGGTCAGAACTTAGCTGGGACATCTCAAGGGAAAAGAAGAGGTGCTGTTAGAAGCAGTGTTGGCAGTTTAAAAGGTGATGCTGCTTCCTCTGAGTCAATACAGAGGTAATGTTCCAGGAGAGAGGTTAAACTAGCAGGGGATGGCTGGAGGCTGCTGGATGAAGTGTAAAATGGGTATCCTGACAACTTGCAGCATCTGTTGTGAGGAAGATGGTAATCTTGATGTCCTAGGCAAACAAATCCTATCAGCCTGAGCTTCTCCGATAGCGATCAGTGAAAACCATGCTCTATTGTAAGATGGTCCACCCCAGAGCAGCTGCATTTTGGTAGAGGAAAGATCAACTGTTGCAGTTAATTTGCAAAGGTGCTAGTGAGGTGAAAGTGACTCTTCATAAGTAAATATTTTATTGTGTTTAGAATTCTTAATCTCTTTTGAGAACAAAGATTTTTATTACAAAATACCCAAAACTTCTCCCGAGCCAGTTTTCCTATGAAGCAAGGTCCTATTTATTTTCATGTCTGAAATAAATTTTCCAATACAAACAAGTGAATAGAAAATTAAAGTGCTAAACTATTTACAAGGGATGCATGTATGAGATGTCTGGTGTGCCAGTGCTCTAGGGCAGACTGAGGTGGTCCTCTCTCTCAGACTGTCCCAGGTCCCACTCAGTCACTAGTTCTGAGGACACCTCTGTGAAGAGATGGTCCCAATCCCAGCTGACATCATCCTACCAAGAGGAAAAAGACAAACATGCTGAAATGTTACTGGTGACACCCAAAGGTCTCTGAATGATAACAAATATTCAAGATGAACAGCAAAGAGAGAAACTAAATGGCAGCTGCCCCTGCCAGGGAAGTCTCAGATTCAGTTGGCTAGAACAGGAATCCTAGTCAGAATGAAATGTGAATCCCTGCTACAATTTAAAGATTTTGACAGAATTGTTCCAAAATGCCATAAAGGACAGATTTTTTGATACTTGTTAATCTTAGATACTCCCAGGCAGGGTGTGAAGAGGAGCCATAAAAATCTTCCACCCTTCTGCACTTCTGCTGAAGCATATGCAATAATGAGCTGCAGAAATCCTTTGTTGCAGTCCTGAGCTCCTGTCCCCCCAGTTGTATTGAGGTTGTTCTGTCCTGCTTTAACACATACCTCTGCCCAAACCCCAAATGCTTTCTGCCTTTGTCCCTCTGTACCTGCAGAACTACCTGAAGCTTATGGTGGCTACCAAAAGACAATACACAGAGCACTGTTTCTGCAGGAATCTGTGGCAGTGCTAGGCCCTTTCCTTACTAGCTCTTTCATACTGAAGGGGGCCAATCATAGTGATGCCATAATTTCACACAGAGAAGGCCCTATATATCTTCAAAATAATCTGCTGGGGAAATCAGACCTCCATTCACTTGGACAAGCTCCTCTTCACAAGCTCCTCCTCATCTCTCTCCTCCACCCCACCGACAAAGGCTTACTTTCCAAGTATAGTCTGAGACACATAAGAAGCTGCTGCCTTGTTGGTGTTCCCACAAAAGAAAGACTTACCTCTCGTAGTTCATGCTCTGGAGCCAAAACTTTGGTGAGAAGCTTCAGGTCAACCTCTCCATCCTATGAACAGACACAGTCACAGTCTTACAGACAGTGAGAAAGTGGACACCATCATTTCACCAGGTAGGTCTTGCTAGAGATAGGCACAACATTTGCCTCATAAGGGACATATACTTTGCCCAGGACAACAGCAGGAGCCTTGTCTGAGGAGCAGATACCATACCTACACTATTTACAGACACAAACAAGCATGAAAGCCACACTGCAGAGAGGAAGAGAGGAAGAGACTTGAAAGCAGACTGGAAGTTGTTTGGATGACAGGGCTGTGTATTTTATGCAGCTGAATATCACTGCGGAGGATGATGGGAGCCTGGAAGGAGAGGGAGTCACATCGGTCACCCCATAGCAACATCCACTTACCAGAGTCTGAAAGGCAGCATACTTCATAAGATCTTTGTCCAGGTCATGGTAGGTCAGCACTCGGTTCACCTGCACACTGCAACCAGAAGGGGTCAAAGAACAAGCCTGGGTAAGTGTGGAAGCACATCTGAGACGGGTGGCATGAACAGGAATCTGGTGGCACCCATCGTGAGTGTCCACATCACCCATGTGGACTCTTGAGATGGGTGTCCCCAGACAGAAGTAAATCTCATTCAGCAAATGAACAGTCATTGACAAATCTGCGTGCCAGGCTGTGCACATGCATAAAAATAGGATGTGGAGGGACCACAGACTCCCTCAGAGAAGCCAGCATGCCAGAGGGAAGACTGCTGCAAGGGCCAGAAAGAAAACAGGAACATAGTGAACATTTGAACAGCCCCAGCTGGGTCTGAGAGCCCCACCATACAAGCTACAGAATAGCAGAGACCTTGTGATTTCCGTGTCTGAGCTGAGACACAGCTATCAAATACAATTTCTTAAAATGTAGCCTCCAAAGAGAAACACGGGGTAGGGGGGTTATACACTGTTGTGCCATGCTTCCCTTCGCAGGTGATGCAATACTGTAGAAAAGACCTATATTTATTTAATTTCTGTTTGTCCATGAAAATGACTTGTCTTTTCTATTGCAGGGAGACTATGGATACAGGAAGAACAGATGGGATTATAAAAAAAGAGAGAGAACAAAGACACGAACTCTGGTGAGAGACAAAGTAATTTTAAATTTTCTACTATGAAGTGTCACTTATTTTTGTTAACAGCTATTTAATTACAATACCTACTCCGTACTTGTGAAGAGGCATCTGTGGTCAGGAGTAAGATATCCCACCCCTCCAAATAAGGGTCAGTAGAAATCCCAATCTGTGATCTTGGCAATAGGCCCAACAGGGGAGAGAAGACTTTACTGATACGTTTAAGATAAAACCCCCAAAACTTTCATTTTTTAAAACTTGCTGGTCTCCCTTGAGCTAACCCCAAGACTATTCTGATAACACCTTCAAACAACAGGATTGTACTTTGCAAATTAACTCGGCACTTGAGTAAGAAGGATATCCTGTGGAGGGCAAAGCAGCCTACGACCGTGCATAATCAAAGTGTGTGTGATAATAATGTGTACTAGAGGCATCTGAGGTTATACAGGCAACCTTAATCAAGCAATTCCTAACTTTTGAGAGTTTCATTTTGCAACATCAAACATGCTACTCTAATGTATTTTTTGTACGTGTAGAGAGAATATGCAGTAATTGCTTTCTCTGTGTAATAGGAAACAAGCAGGTTGCACTGTTCAGCTTGGAGCCCCAGTGCCACAATACACAGCATCGAATCCTGCT